TAGCATAGTGACTGCATTCTATAAATACTGTGATTTCCTGTGCACGAGTCACCCTTTTCTGCCACTGTCTCTGATGGTGGATTCAAATGAGAATCCGAAACGTCAGGCGAATAAACCCCTTGTTCCAGCGATCGCTTCTTCTTCTTCTTCTTCTTCTTCTTCTTCTTCTTCTTCTTCTTCTTCTTCTTCTTCTTCTTCTTCTTCTTCTTCTTCTGATCAAGTGGTCAAAGGACTGGCTTTTGCTATTCAATGAGAAAAAAATGCAACATTCTACGAGTCGGCAGAGCCCGCTCTCCGAACCACACGGCCTACTGTCTGAATGGTATACCACTGCAAGAAGTGGACTCGCAGAAGAACTTGGGAATATGGATTACGACCTCGCTCAAACCCTCGCTGCACTGCACGAAGGTAGTCAAGTCTGCAATGTCAGTTCTCTGCCTATGATTAAGACTGCTCCGCTAAAGTCTTTCGAACGTTTGTGCGGCCGTAATTGGAATTTACTATCCAAGCACGGAGACCCTGTACCGCGAATGCCCTCGGCATCTTCGAAAGGGTTCAAGGGCGTGCAGCGAAACTTGTGACAGGACAGGGTTCACTACCATATGTGACGCGGTTAGCTAACCTTGATCTTTTTCCCTTGAGTTACAGGCAGTTACGGGGTGACCTGATACAAACCTTCCGTATCATACGCGGTCAGGACTGCGGTCTCGTACCGGGGGACTTCTTCAAGTTAGCAACCAGCACAAACCTACTAGGTCATTTATTCAAACTACTCGTGACCGGGGCCAGGCTGGACACACGGAAGTTCTTCTTCTCTAACAGAGTGCTTAAAGTTTGCAACGCCCTGTCTCCGGATGTCGTTATGTCTGCTTCCGTCGTGGTCTTTAAGAGGAAGCTGGATTTGTATAGCAGTGTCCACTGAATTACCACCCGACCTCTATAACCTTGACAAATACCGTTGCTATAATTCTACTTGCTATATTTCAGTAACATTTTAAATTGACTTTCGTATTGTCTCCAACCCATCGTCTACGCTTGCTATGCAACTTTTGTCACTGGGGCAATTATTTATTTCCCTGCACTCGAAACGACCACCGTACTATTGCTCGTATCACTAACACTCGACAGAGTTTATTTATCTGTAAAGAGTTGACGCTTTTCCGATTATTTGTTACCTTTATGATAGCTTTTCCAGTTTTTGAGATTTTTCAGTTGCTTGTAAAGTTCAAACGTGAAGACCTACATTTCCCTCAATAAAACTGAACTGAAAGGAACTGAACTATCGCATGCCTATGCATATTCACGCCTCCCCCCTTCATCAGAGATCGTGGGACGAAAGGCCTAACCGCACGGACACCCAATTTTGGCGAGCGCTTCCGTATGTCAAGAACGCTTCGGAAGCTGTCGGCCGCCTTCTCGCACCACTTGGGGTTGGAGTTGCACACAGACCGGAGGCAACCAATAGGTGTCAGGTAAGGAGACCGAAGGACCCGCTGCCACAGTAAGAAACATCTGGAGTCGTTTACCGGATCTGGTGCAGTTGCGGACAAAGCAACTACATCGGAGAAACTGGAAGACAGCTCCGAACGCGGATGGTCGAACACGCTACAGCGGTGCAGAGAAATGACGCCAGATCGCAAGTTGCGGCTCATTCGACGAGATCTGACCACTCATTCAAATTCGAAAAGGCCAAAATTCTCGCAAGAGGGGACAATCGCGTGAGCGGGGAGAGGCTTGAATCATGGCTTACTGGCTCCCAGTCCATTAACAAGTGCAATGATCTTCCCCTTCCATACTCGGTGCTGAGACTTCGCCTGGGCGGAATAATCAGTCACGCGGGAAGCGCACAGGTGAACACTTTTCCCAAAGCCAGGGTTTGTGGGTCAGATGGTCGAGCAATCATCACACCAGCATCCAACGCACGTGATGAAATTGCAGTAATTAACGACGCGAATATCGGTCATCAAACTGCCAGCACACCAAGTGGAATGATCCCTGATGCAGGGGGTAGCCATGAATATTTATTGACATGCGGTAGCATGGCGATTGCATCTTATAAATACTACAGTCCCTTGTGCATGAACCATCGTATCTGCTTTTTGTCTCTGGTGATGGGTTCAAGCGGAAATGCGAAATGTCAGGCTGATAAAGCTCTAGTCCCAGCGATCGTGTCTTCTTCTTTCAGGCTGGACAAGTCTACTCCCACTATAGACTAATTCACGCGCAAGTCACCGTGTCTACTTCACTTTGCTGTGGGGCACACGGTGAACACCATCGAGTCCGGCGATCGAACCATCATCATCATCATCATCATCATCATCATCATCATCATCATCATCATCATCATCATCATCATCATCATCATCATCATCATCATCATCATCATCATCATCATCATCATCATCATCATCATCAGCAGCAGCAGCAGCAGCAGCAGCATCAGGCAGCATATTTTCTCTGATAAAATGATATTGAAGGTGGATTGATAATTGATAATCGTCCATTTGTCACCAGATGGCTTATCATAGCTACCTGGATTGGCAGCTGGAAAAGATGGATATGGGCCAAGAACATGAGACTTTTAGCGATAAGGGGAGCCCAAAGGTGTCGAAATGATTTTAATATCAGGTATCATGTTGCCTCTGGCAAGATGGTATTGTAGGTGGACGGACAGATTGTTTCATGTGATCTTATATGGTCATACTATAGTCTCATGCAGCCTTACGGCCAACAGGTAGAGTTTTGTCAAAAAGCATATTAGTATTCATTACTTGAAGGTCTTTAATGTCTGATGAGTGAGGTAATGGGACTGAGGAGAAGAGAGGAGAGGAAGTCTCAGTATTTGACGTATTGACGGTATTGACGTATGTTTATGAATTATACTGTTCATTCTATATTTAAATGTTTTTTTATGGTTACATTCTGGTGTTATTCTGTTGGCTGGCACTATCAGAATCCTTTCAGTTCAAATTCTATGTTTAAATAGCTGACGTGAAATGTGTTCTATCTTATTCAACAGCAAATCTGTATTACTATCTAAAAAGAATACCTTGGTTTTTATTTTAAATTCTACTGGGTTTCGACTTTTTTGAATAAAACTCGAGATAGCATTGCATTTATTTGCATATTTTATGTGATTGGAATTTGATCATTGGGACTTTGTGATTTTAGGGACCCTTAAAATATCTTCGTTATTTTTAATCTTTCGGAGTGCTTACGATTTGTTAGTTATTCACTTTGGGAATATCTTCGTCGTGTGTGATTTCGAATAAGCAATTGAGAACATTTTTAGTCTTCTGACCTAAAGGGGTAGAAGACGGCATTTATTGGATGCCATCGCATTTGGACAAACTTGCAGTAATGCGTCCCGAACGCCTTCTTGTTACTTTCAGTCATAAAAAGGCATTATGTGGAAGAAAACTGAGCAGTTATCTGGGAGGGGTAAAACATATACTTTATAAAGTTGCGTCTATAACGTATTTAGAAGAAATTTTTACCCGTGAACTCGCGTAGACGAGTGGCTTTCAGGGATGTTTGTTTAACGTAAGGGAATAAGTGAAAAGCACTGGAAAAACTCAGATCTAAGCTTTTTATTGATAGGGCCCCCTTTACTTCATTATCCTCAGAAATTATAAGAGGGAAGTTTTTGAGACGGAAAATCAAGAGATAAATTCAAATCGGACATCGTCAGGGTAGGAATAAATGTCAGCCCTGGGGTGGTATGTACGCGGGTCAGACAGGACTGGCCTGCATATGGTATTGTAAAAGGGATTGAAGACTGACATCGTCAGGGCAGAATGAGTACACCGGATGAGACTATTCGTATCAAAGTGGTGAGACGAGAGGAACCCCGACGCGATTGGCCACAGTCCGCTTCGGCCCCAGCCGAGGAATGGGGAGGGGAGGTACGACCAAACTACTAGTAGACGGCGAATACAGAGGGTTCCGCCGTGAGCGTCGACAGACCGCTTGAGGTCGAAATGAGGGAGATAACATCAAGAACCGCGAAAATAGTGGCTATTGGGCAGGAGTGATAGCAGAGGCTTTAGTAGCCAATTTAAAACAGGGGGTTGTCCAGATATAAATGAGAGTTTCCACTTGATCTACCACTAAATCCCAGGAGGACCCTCTCAAAGTCCAGAAGCTGAGTGTTCGGGAATGAGACCGTTAAAAGTACCTTTATACATTCCGGTGTAAGGCGTTTGCGTAATTTCGATTTGATTACCGATAACTTAGGCAATGACCTATTTTCTGGCGGAAGATTATTCCAAAGGAAGGAATATATGGAAGAAAAAAGAGGTTGCGCATAGATGTAGTGCAAAGAGGCGGCGGCAGAATCACCATGGAGGAGTTGCGCGTGGCATAAGACCGATCTCTCTGAGTGAGAGTGTTAATGCGACGGGTCTTTAATAAAAATAATTGAATTGAATTGAAAAGATTGGACCTAGTGTTAATGCGAAAAAGGAAGCAAAGGCCAGCTTCGAGTCTTCTAACCCACTAAAACTTAATGTTTGCCAGCCGACATTTCTGAGTATAAGACGTACCGGATGCGAGTTGAGAGACCAGTTTCCGGGTGAAAACCCTCTGAACATTTTCCATCTTATAGCGGTCACAGACGTTCATTAAACCAAATAAAGGGCAGCAGTATTCGAGGAATGGAGGAATAAACATTTGATAAAGTCTTCGCTTTATTTCCGGAAGAAATAAATATGCGATATGAACCCACATATCTCTGCGGTTTTGGCAGATATTCTAACTGCAAGAGGTGATAAAGCAAGCTTATTCGTATAACTTATGCAGCGTATCCTGTCCGGGCCGTCAGAACATCATGCCACAAACGCGTGACAAGCGAACGATCAAGGTCGTGATCCCTGTTCACACCATCTTTGTGCTGATCGGCCACCCATCAGCCTATGACAGTCCCCTTGCCATATACCCGGCCGTTTCCATAAGCCTCTTCCCTTGTGCTGTCTATCCTACTCAGTACAAGTCCTATTTCCAATTGACCTTCTGTTTTGCATACATAACATTCGCGACGCAGCCTAACGAACATGTATTAATTGCTGCCTACACCCTTACCTTTCTGTCCAAAAAAACACCCAGAAGCCCTCAAATGACTCGTGGTTGCAATGGAGGACGACATTTGAAGGTTCTATTGAACTACTCCCGATTTTGTCACCCACAATTGTACTAGACGTCCCATCTAAGTTGAAACTCCTCCGGACGAATCTCGGAGAGTTGAGACAACGATATTTCGATGTTCTCAGTCTATAAAAGGCTATAGATCTCCTAACAGCCTTCACAAAACTCGAGTCAGCGTGGAAAGAAAAAGACGTCTTTTTCAGTCTCTATCGGTTTTGTCAAATGCGTCAAGAATCTAATCAATTTGTCAGTGATTTACTTACTAATCTGACTCTGGCCATCCAGGATTGTGGGTATAAAGAGATCAGGGCAGACAACTTCGAGCACTCAATGCTTGCTTAGCAGTTGATCGTCGGTACGCGCGATGAAAAAGCTCGGGAAAATCTCTTATCAGAGAAGAAGGATTTGTCATGGGAGAAAGCCTGGGATATTGTCAGTCATTAGGAGCGCATGCGGCAAAACCTTCAGCGGCTGATTCAGTCAAACGACGGAGGGATAGCATCCTTGGAATCTGAAATGGCTGTCTTCCTAGTCAACACTGCTGTGTCTTCACCTAGACAGCGACCCTCAGCTCCCTCAAAACAACTACCATCATGTTACCGTTGTGGTCAGCATCATATCCGTGAAGTTTGAAATCGACACTGGCTCAGTTGTTACTCTCATCAATGAGACCTCTCTTCAGAAATAACCCTCCCTCCTTCCGGCTAACTGAACATTCCGTAGTCACACTCTGTTTGACCACTCGAATAGAGAAGGAGAACTTCCGCACATCCAGCCTTGCCTACTGAGTGCGCAGTTTAAACGGGTGACCTCGGAGGTTGGTCGTGGTAGCAAATTCAATGAAGTCCTCAAAGGCCAGACTGCAATCCAACCCCTTTACAATGCGCAAGGCTTGCGAGCGATCCCCGCGAAGTTGCCTGTAACTCAAAGGAAAGAGGTTCAGATTTACTAGTCGGGTTGCACAAGGAAAGGAGCTTTGACCCCTAACCATCTTCGTGGCTCTCCTCTGAACGCATTCGAGACAGTTTCGATCCTCAACCGCCCACGGTCTCCAGGCTTGTATGCCGCATTCCAAGTACGGCCGGACGAATGTTCCGAATGTCTTTGAGAAAGCATCTTCTTAAAAGTCCATAAACGCACGCTTGATGGCGTACAGTACGGACATTGCGCATTTTGCCACTCTCGAACAATAAGCGGGTGGTTTTAGGGAACTCGTCGTCAGCACACCGTGGTCCTTTTGGGCTTCGACCTCTTGTAGGACTGAACCGCCCAGAACGTAGTCTCTTGTGCTGGCGGATCTGGCTGTATTGCCTAGGCGAAGTATGCTACATTTGCCAACGTTGGACCGCAGGAGCCAACGGTTTGACCACTCCTCCAACCGATTTGGGTTCACCTGCAGTCAGTCTTCGTCGGCAGGTCCCCGAATTACACTCCATATCTTCATGTAATCGACAAATATTGCTAATTCGCAGTCTAAAGCTCTTGCGGCATCGTCCACGTATACAAGGAACAAAATATCCCAAAATGGTCAAGGTCAAGGCGCGCAGCTCAATTTCAAAGATAACTGAAGCTTAGCATTTATCTGGATATTCTTAAGCAACTAATGCCTGTTTTTTACTTGAGCCCCTTTTAAAAGTCGCCTTTCAATACAAGATATAATTTTTCCCAGTTTTATTTGACGGTCTTGCAAAATAGTCGTATTTTGTAAAAAAAAACCTTTGTAGTGACTCCTTTCCCTACTATCTCTTTCTATTTTTCGTAGTTAAATACCAGTTGCACTTGCTATTAAGTGCGATATTCCGTACGTTGTCAACGTGTTGACCCTTCTTCTGTAACGAAAAAACTTTTCCTGTCTGTAATGCCCCGCAGAGCACGTGCTAAACGGCGAAAGCTTGCGGCCTCCTCACAGTCTCTGGGTGCTAAAATCGTGACTGAAGACATAGCAGGTGCCAGCGTATGTTCTTCGCCGTCCGCAGATCTGATAAACTCACAAAACCCTTTAGTACATGTAGAACCCCTTGACCCTTCAGTCGTCCATAAATACGCCTCTGCTAGTCGTAGCAGGCCATCAGCCGGCGAAATAGTCGACCAGTTTATTTATGGCGACATAAATAGCACTTCTGAAAAAGTAATTGAACAAGCTTTTAAACTTATTGGGGTAATAAGTTCGGAAACTAAGGAAAGAATTAGGCGCAAGCATAATTTCGTACTGCGAAACATTCCGAGCCACTTATCTGCTATGGAGGGAGCGCATGTGTTCCTACAAAGTTGTGACTTGAGTTTCAGTGTCGCACAAGCTAAGCGACTT